GCTGCATTGCTGCGTCAAGTCGGAAGAAGAAGGCTGGAAAGCGACTTCTCTGACAGGATGGTCATTTTTCTTTCGTGCAATATCTCCGAACAAAATCAGTTGTCACTGCAAGAGAAGATCGCTGAGCTTGATGTGTTGGGCTCTCTGCAGAACCGCGGCGTTGGAGACACGGCTGACATATGAATGCCAAATGTCTAAGATTGATCGCAGGCAGCGCGCCTGAAACGCATTCACTATGTATAACTCGTGCTTTCGCAACCAAGAAGTGTAAATTCTATGCAGAAGAACACAGACTGCGAATGTAGTTGGCTTCCTCTTGGTCTTCTTCCTCCTGAGCTGAAGGAAGCCCAGAACGGTGAAGACGCGAACATCTTTCAACAACCTAAGGGACATTTACATTAGTAGCGTCTTTGGGCCCTACTGGGGTTCCTACTATGCCCCTCATGGGCCGTCTTAGGGGCGTTTTGGGTTGTTTTCAGGCGATGGCTTGCCATCTTGGGGCTATCTTGGGCCATCTTGGAGGCATCTTGGACCATCATGGCAGCCCTGCTGGTCTGCCTCGGCCGTCTTCGAAGCTTGGAGGCGCGGACCCATTGTTTTATGCAGAACGCGGCTTCGGAAGCGCAGACCATTGTCTTGTACGAGGGATCGTGGGCTCGGGAGCACGGATCCATTGCTTCTACAAGGGACCGTGGCCCTGCCAGCACGGACGCATTGATTTTCCTGAAAAATTGCTCGCTCTGAGGGCTTCTTATTGTAGTGGCCTCCAGCCAGTGCCGCCGATCCGGGACGCTCCGGATGATAATGACGATGATGATGATGATGATGATGATGATGATGATGGTGATGATGGTGATGATGGTGATGCTGATGCTGATGCTGATGCTGATGCTGATGCTGATGCTGATGCTGATGCTGATGCTGATGCTGATGCTGATGCTGATGATGATGATGATGATGATGATGATGATGATGATGAATAGATGATGATATGATGGATGATGATGATGATGATAGATGATGAAAGATATGAAGATGGATGTTGATGATGTGATGATGATGATGATGAGAATGATGATGATGATGATGATGATGAAGATGATGATGAGTGATGGTGGTGATGGTGATGGTGATGGTGAGTAGAGTTGAGAAGGTGAATGATCCTGGCCCCCTCCCCAACCTCCCCTCCTCTCTAACCCATCCTTTCCCCGTCCCCCCCCCTTCTCTCCTGTCCCCCCCCCCTCTCTCCTTTCCCCTCCCCTCCCCCCCTCTCTCCTGTCCCCCTCCTATCCTCCTCTCTCCTGTCCCCCCCCCCACTCTCCGGTCCCCCTCCCCCCCGCCCCTCTCTCCTGTCCCCCCCCCCCCTCTCTCACAAATAATTGAGCAATATGAATATTACTCTCCCTCTTCCCCTGATGGCGTGCTGGGAGTAGTAGACCCCCCCCCGCGTCCTGTTTTTTTGTACACACAGGATTCCCGGGAGTTGGGTTTTCGCGTGCATTTTTTTTCAAAATGCTGCTCTCGCTGGGGCGCCGGCCTCATTTTCGGGCCCCGCTCGTTCCGAATCGTGCTCCCGCTGCAGCGCTGGCCTCATTTCCGTGCTTCCGCTCGTTCCGAATCGTGCTCCCGCTGCAGCCTGCCTCATTTCCGCGCTTCCGCTCGTTTCGACTCGTGCTCCCGCTGGCATCGCTGGCGTCCATTTTCCGTGCCATGCCTCGGCACATCGCGCACACAAACGCACACACACAAACCACTCCACCAAACCCACCACCACCACCACCACACCACCACCACCAGCACCACCACTCACTCACACACCACCATCCCACCACGACCACACACCACCACAGCACCACCCACACCAAGGGCACCTTCAAGCACCAGCCCAGCACCGACCGCCACCACCACCACCAAACAACCAACCACCACCACCACCACCACCACCACCACCAAACCACCACCACCACCACCACAACCACCAACCACGCACACAAATAAAAAAACTATAGGTATACGCACGCACGCACGCGCGCGCACCACCACCCACTACGCACGCGCGCGCGGAGCCACAGGTCCGCTACGACACGCGTCCGCGGATAGAGAAAATCAGCGCCATGGTAAGGGATGGGAGGGAGGGGTAGGACGTCAGATATGACGCGAGCGCACCTAGCTTGCCGCCCCCCCTCTCTCCTTTCCCCCCCCCTCTCTCCTGTCCCCCCCCCCCTCTCTATAATTACTCAATATGAATACTACTCTCCTCCTTCCCCTGATGACGGGTTGGGAGTGTTCGCCCCCCCCCGCGTACAGTTTATTTAAACACAGGATTCCCCGGAGTTGGGTTTTCGCCTGCATGTTTTTCAAAATGCTGCTCTCGCTGAGGCGCCGGCCTCATTTTCGGGCCCCGCTCGTTCCGAATCGTGCTCCCGCTGCAGCGCTGGCCTCATTTCCGTGCTTCCGCTCGTTCCTATTCGTGCTCCCGCTGCAGCGCTGGCCTCATTTCCGCGCTTCCGCTCGTTCCGAATCGTGCTCCCTCTGCAGCGCTGGCGTCATTTCCCGTGCCATGCCACGGCATGCAATGCAATGCTCGGTTGCGTTCCGCTGCGCGATGTCATGCCTTCAGCTGAAGCTGTGATATGCAGTGCTTAAATACCACGTCGTGCTATGCCATGCTACGCTTTGATCTTCAACGCCATGCTATGCAATGTTATGTTCGGAGCCGCTGTGCGATGCCATGCTTTGCGTTGCAAAGCTTTGTGATGCAATTCTTCACTACGCCACGCCACGCCATGCTGTGACATACTACGCTTTGCGGTGCTCTTCTACGCCATGCCATGCCGTGCTCTACAATGCATCGCGTACCCTTTCGGGATCATTGCCCTGCTCGACATCCGACTGTGCGAGTGGAGAGGGGATCTACGCCATGGTAAGGGATGGGAGGGATGGGGTAGGATGTCAGATATGACGCGAGCGCACCTAGCTTGCCTGCCCCCCCTCCCCCTCTCTCCTTCCCCCCCCCCCCTCGCGTGTCAATTCTTTCGTTGTTGGCGCCCCCCCCCCCCCTCTTGCAGAGCGAAGCTTGAGCGAGCCCCCCCCCTCTCTGCTTTCCCCTCCCCCACCCCCTCGCGTGTCAATTCTTTCGTCGGTTTTCGTCGTTTGCGTCTCCCCCCCGACCCCCCCCCTCCAGAGCGAAGCTTGAGCGAGCTTAAGCCCACGCTCTCAGAAACTCACACGCCGGATCGGCGGATTTTCTGGAAAAAGGAAGTGGGCCTGCGGGCCAGTCTGACGGCTATGTAGTCGCCATCGCCGCCTCGTCGCCGCCTCGTCGCCGCCCGTCGTCTGAGCCTCCGGGCTTGCCACTATGTAGTCGCCGTCGCCGCCCCGTCGCCGCCCGTCGCCGCCCGTCGCCGCCCGTCGTCTGGGCTTGTCGGTCTGGCGGCTATGTCGTCGCAGTCGCCGTCCCGTCGTCGCCATCGCCGCTTGTCGTCGCCGTTACCTTGCTTGTTTGCTCGGACTTACACTTGTTTTGCATTGCGTTGCTTTGCATTGCTTTGCGTTGCTTGGCAGCGCTGAGCATTGCTTCGTCTTGCTTTGCTTTACCTTGGTTTGCATTGCTTTGCGTTGCGGTGCATGGCAGTACTTTGCATTGCTTTGCGTTGTTTTGTAGCCTTGCTTTGCATTCCATTGCTTGCCTTGCATTGCACTGCGCTGCATGGCATCGCTTTGTATTGCGTTACGTTGTTTTGCTTTTGTTGCTTGGTGTTGCTTTGCGTGGCATTTCGTTGCATCGCTTTAAAGCTGCAGGACAACACATGAGAGATCATGGAGCATCACCATAGAGAGTACATACGAGAACACAACGAAACAGTTCAACACGGACATTTCAGGAGGACGATCGATCCCCCACAAAGTGCTTGCATTTAGGGGTTCCTATTTGCGTTCCTCAGGAATTGGATGAGTGTCCCTAGGATTCGCCATGTTCCAGCCAGCTGCCGCCCGTTGCCGCCTTTGGGGGTGTCCAGAGGATTCGCCACGTCCCCGCCCGTTGCCGCCCGTTGCCGCCTCTGCAGGGGTCCCGAGGGTTGGCCTTGGATATTGCACGGCGTAGCTAGCATCACATCAGTTTAACCGCTTGGCTTTCACCACCATAACTCACACGTCATAGCTCACACGGCATACAGTACACCGCGCATCTTATGCCGCATAACTCCCCCCCCCACAGTGCAGTAAGTAACCTATTGTTAGGGGTCCACGTTGGCTAACATTGTTATATTCTGGATAAGATGGGATGCATGCCCCTGAGTGCTGACGGCGGGGGAGCCATTGGAAGACTAAAGACAAGCCGCCAGACAGCATTTCGCATTCTGCCCCGCCTCAATGTGCCGGGGGGTGCGGTGGCGAACCGTTACGCAGACCCGCCAATTGAGAGCCGCGGCCTCGGCTGGACAGAGTTGTGTGATGAGGAGGCGGGGAGGACGGAAGCGGGAGTACAGGCGAAAGAGACCGATGAACCCGAAGCGGGCCAGAGCCAGAACGGGCCGAAACCGAAAACGGCTTTTTCCTTTGGGGGCCTCTTGGAGCGTCTTGGGTGCGTGCCTCTGGGGAGCCTCTTGCGGCCTCTTGGGGGTCTCTTAGGAGCCTCTTGAGGGCATCTTGGGTGCCTCTTGAGGGCCCCTTGAGGCCTCCTGGGCACCTCTCGGGGCCGTCTTGGGGCACCATTGGGAGCCTCGGGGACCATCTTGGGGCCATCTTGGAGGAGATCGATCAACAGAGGGACCGTAGTGCATTAGCCCAGTGGCCGAGGCATTGGTAACTTCAACGATTTTGGTCTTCTCGCTGGGCGTCTTGAGTGCCTCTGGGGGGCCTCTTGGGGCCTCTTGGGGGTCTCTTAGGAGCCCCTTGGGGGCATCTTGAGGCCCTCTTGTGGCCTCCTGGACACCTCTCGGGGCCGTCTTGGGGCACCCTTCGGAGCCATCTGGGGACCATCTTAGAGGAGATCGATC